CAGTGTTCACCAATCGTCATGTTGCGAAAAATCAACTCACTTCATTAGATCCAACCTCGTATATTCTGTTTTTTTTTTGTTACAGAAGAGGGCAAGGCCCAAAAGAAAAAACAGAAACTAAATCATGGGGGACTAAATCCCAAGCATTCCTTCATGGCCAAGTCCTGCAGTCGAGGTGGGCAGGCAGCGAAAATGGAGGACTTCAAGAATCCCTCCTTAGCAAGGGTATCTGCAAGTTGGTTTTTATCCCGAGGGATATGCCGAATTCTGAGCTCCCATGGACGCGCCATTACCTTCTGAATACGGATAAATAATAGACTGGCATTAGGTGGGGGTTCTCCCTTCTGCAGCATCGTAATCACATATAGTGTAATGAAAAGTTTTAAAAGATTTTCCCAATCCACTTAAGTTTTTGTTTGGTTGTCCTCAATTGGGTCTCGTACGTACTTGGGCCAAGGAGAATTTGATCCAATTTAAAGTTTGGGCCTTTAGAACTTCGTTTTTAACTGAGAAAGGAGCCCAGAGACATTTGGTAACCAATGAAGTTGAGAGGCCATCTAGCTCTTCCTCCTTTTTTATCTTTTTTTTGACCCAAGAGGTCATCATTGTCTTCTAAGCAAAGCTTGACCAAGAAAAGACCCCGCAAATTCTGGAAATTTCTCAGAAGGGCTAAAGTCATTAGAAGGACAGAAATTTTTAGATGAATGAAAACATCCCTCCTTTTCTCCCTATATTAGGGGGTGAAGTAGTAACGTTATTTGTCAATTGCATTTGGTATCTTAACTGTATTTGTAGTGCAATTTCATTCTTAATATTTTGAATTTGAATCAATTTTATGCATGCCACAAACGTCGGTTTTAAAAAATCTTTGACGCACCGGCAATTTTGTTTTTTTGAACTTTCCATCTGGGCATTTTAATTTGATCGTGACACGTAATGAAATCAAATCTTTCCTCCAAGCAACTAAGAAATAGCATGATGGGTACTATCTTACCTTGTATTATCTCATCACATACAAATGAAATGTTCTATTTACACACAAAGCCTTACATGTCAAAGTTCCTTTCCATATTAATTACTGGACAATAAAGTCAAATAAAAGTGACCATAAGCTAAGTCTGAGCTATAAAAGCAATGAAAAAGTAGTGGTGGGATAGTGAGAGTTACCTGAAAAAAAAAAAAGAAAAAAGATGAAGAAGATGTAATTAAGATAAACATCCACACGAAGCAACAAGCAACTCTTAATATTCAATCAATGAGATTCATCCATTATGCTGACCTATTTAAGATGCTGATGGGATCACAGGTGGGATCCAGACGTGGGTGCGTTGCTGCCATCCACAAAGATCGACACCGACGACAACTTGCATGCACAAATAAAGCTGTAACCTTTGACAAATGAAAATCTGTCTAGTCTCTCCTCCTTATCAATAATATGTTGCAAGCTTTCAATCTATATGCTGATATGCTCCATCCGCTTCAATCACATTCTTTAACACATTTAATATTCTTTGATTTGAGAGAAAGCTTAACTAACAATTTGTATTATGAATCAGAGGAGTGTGCACTCTCTTAGAATTTAAGGGTAATGTGAGTCAAACTGGCATTTTCAACCAAAAAAAGCTACTTTTGATATTCAAGAGTGATATTTGTGATTAAGAGTTTTCGACTTGAAAGTTAAGTTGAAACTAAAACAAGTTTTTTCTTCTGGTTTTTGGTTTCTGATTTTTCATCATATTTCAATCTTCTGAGATTTTCTTTTCAATGTATCGTTCAAATTCAAATAAGTTTCTGCCAAGCTAACTTTTCTAATTGACTTCGGAAATTCTAATATTATTAGATCTAATTAGAGGGAGCTCTTTTATTTATTTATTTTTAAATTATTTTTACTGTTCACAAGGTTCAAACACTTAACATTGCTTAAGAGGAATTAAGTATTTTCTTGACCTAACTATAATTCGCAGCTTACATACATACTCCTTTGGTCCTATGTATAAGGTAGAGATAGAAAGTTTTTCTTAGTTCTATTTATAAGTCACCTAATTAAATTTTTAATATAAATATACTATTTTGTCCTTTATTTATTATAACGTGGATGTTTTTATTTAAAAGATTTATATATTAAATAAAGTAAAGTAGAAAATTTGTTATATTGTAAAAAAGAATTAATATATTTTAAAATTTTTTTTAACCTGTGTGAAATATATTGAAAGTGTCATATAAATAAGACTAGAAAAGTACTCCGCAAATTCTAATTTGTATAATGAAGACTTTGTGTCTACGGAAGAAAAGAACGATGCTCTGTGACTTTCTGTCTTAAATGTATCAAAATTATCAATGGGGTCATTTATATCTACCACGTTACTCACTTTGACAAAACGCAATCTCACATTAAATTCTACTACCCACTCCCATTTATGAAAATGTTCCTCCCCTTTGAAACTTTCAAATCTTCCCCAATAGTATCAGACTTGCCTAATTCTCACATGCCCTCCGGTTTAGGGTGATGGGTTGATTACTTCATTGATTCCAAGTTTTCCTTTTCTTTTTTTTTTTCAATGGTGTTTTAAAGCTTTATCTTAGCTGTTGCTACTAAATTTGTTTAGAGAACATGAGGTTTAGGATTAATGGGCTAATATAATTTTTGTTTTTTCAAATTTGTCCTCATTTTGATTTTGGTATCTTAAGTTTAGTTTCAAGCCACAGGTTTTGACTTTTACGGAGCAAGATGGTCTAAGTTTTTATAAACTTATAAGTATCAATGTGTTGAATAAAAAGAACCTTGAGAAATCAAAATTTATAATTTAAAATTTAATTGAACAAAACCAAAATAAAGATGAACCACAAATTATATCAACTCAGGATTAATTGATCCTTCTGTTGCGACTTGTGATTGAGAGCTAGGGTTAATTGCGAGCTGAGAGATTTCAAACTAAACAGGTTTTAGTATTTACATCAATAATTAATTGCTTCTTAATTTTTTGACCACATTAATTGTTTCTTATCACCCTACTATTGGTTTACACGTCCTTTTTCTCTTTTTTTCTGCACAGCAATAAAGCAATAAATAGAGAGGGAGGAATCATAAATGCGAAAAGAGTAGAAGATTTCATGCATGGACCACTCCAAGTACCATATGCCTAATGCCCTACTAAATGCATGTTGAGCTTCTTGTTCCCAAAGTGTGAACTTATTGAATTATACATTGAACTTTTGAAAACTCAGGTGATTGCTTGAACTAAACTCTGGGTATAGTTACTCCTTGCTAGGGAAGATTTATTAATACACACTATGATCAATTGATTTAAAATATTTTATATGAATGTAATAATAATCATATCAATATCAGCAAATGATATTTTAAATCATATAATAAGGTTTCATAGGGTTATATAGCCGTGTCATATTCAAGATACGAGCTTAATGCAAAAAATAAAGCGTATATTTATATTTCTTTTGACTTTTTTGGCTAACATAAAATTATATATCTTTTGAGAGTTGAATAGTGAATTATGCTTAGCTGGGTGTGTGTCTTTGTATATCTTCCCATCTTTAATGAAGGGGAAAAACTACCTTATTGGTATTAAAAACTAATTAAAGTTAATTAATTCTGTATATCAGATTCATTTTTTCAACAAAAAAAAGAAGAAGAAAACCTACTTAAATGGTATTAATGATTCCTTTATTCACTCTCTCTGACTAATAGCATAGTAATCCACTTGCTAACAAGTATCTCTTAAAAGGAGCTTTGCAAGTTTGCAATTAACTTGAGTTAGTACGCAAGCTGTTATTGACATTGACTTTTGAGGGTGAATTGAGACACATCATACATAGGTCACTATTACATATACAAGGAAGCCATAAAAAATAGAAGAAAATTTAGACCATGTATTTAGAAAATTACCCCTTTTTTTTTATCCAATGTTAATGGGAGTCTCATAATAATAATAATACATTCCGTCATAAATATAAAATTTAGTCTGTAACACAATTATTCAGTCATAAATATAAAATTTAATTTGCAGTCTAATTGTTTGATACTTGTAATATAAATTAGATTTTATATTTAGGATCATAATAAATATATCAATTGACTTCGGATTCACCATGCATATGTACATTTGAACAAACATACTTCCTTAATCCTATCATATTTGTCCATGTTCATTAACATTTAGTAAGTACTTTCTATTATGTGTTCGAAATCTCAGTAAAATATATCATAGGTGCATCAATATGACCCCAAAAAAAAAAAAAATAGTGACTACCTCCCACAGGGGATTGCACTTTTGACTAGTGTCACTCGACAATAATGCAAATTAAACGTTTTCCAGATATTGATCCCCCGCCCCGGGGGGGGGGGGGGAGGTATTTCACGGTCCAGTGCTCAGTTTTCTGAAAGCTCCATGGTACATGAATTATGGTGCACGGCACAAAATTGCCCAGGACTTCAACTCAAAATGCCAGATTCTGCTGATTTTAATCACTCGATCATCCTATTGGCAGCCATTAAGTTGAGGATACCCATTACTCTGTTTACCGTTTGGCATCTTCACTCTCTTCGGTGACACATCACATTCACGTACATTAATAGCTATTCGAGATATTTTAAGTATCATATAATGTTGTATGTGATCAAGATTAAGTTTTTAACAATCTGACATGTGAGTCCCACAATGAATCTCCATCATACGTGCTACCACTGCATGATCAATTATGATCGATCATGTGCAGAAGGAAGCCATAAGGACCCCATCTATGCAGCCGAATCTCATAGCCGACATGAAACATGATATTTTCCATACTTAACACAGTTTGATATGATGTGAATGAAATGAGACTCTAGACAAATGACACATCCAAAAATATAAAACACAAGTATCAGAAAATATCAAGAGTTCCATATCCATGATTTATATTTCAAATTTTTAACATGCAACGCTTGTATGTTCAGATAACAAAATATAAAACAAAACAAATACTGGAGATTAAGAACATCATCGGAAATTACAGACCTACCAGTACTAGTGAGGCAGAGCAGAGGGGAGACCAAATCAGAGGTTAAGACCAAATTAGCTGGTGGTGATTGCCGGCCTACTCATACAGCTTCACATTATATCCGCGTGAAATTAATGCTCCTGACAAATACTCCCAACTGTAAAAGTAATAAAGCATGGCCTATCTTTTCCTTCTACTATATATAGCATGAATCATCCAGGAAGTTCAACGCATTCACTCACTCAAATACCTACCTCCCTATCTTGCCTTCCCCACTAGCTACCCTTTTGATGCTTTGCTTCATTTTTGCTTCAATGGAACCTGAGAAGCTCTTAAGGAATTGGATGAAGAGTTTAGTGGCAGTGTTGGTGGTTCTAGGTTTGTGGGTTGGGGTTAGAGCTGCACCACAAGTACCGTGCTACTTCGTTTTTGGGGATTCTTTGGTTGATGATGGCAACAACAATCAGTTATCGTCTTTGGCTAAAGCCAACTACTTTCCCTATGGGATTGACTTCCGTGGAGGCGCAACAGGAAGGTTTTCCAATGGGAAAACTACTGTTGACGTTATTGGTGAGCTTGCTTTCCAATCACTTTCACAAGTAGCTTATCAAAACCGCACTGTGCTAAACCAGTTTAACTAGCATGCACCAATCATCATCGATAATATCATTATACGCTGACAATTCTAGACTTGTTTATCAAAGAATTGAGGGTTTTAGGTAGATTTACAATTTGGCCTGCACTTGTATGTATGATTCCCTTTTCCTCTCTTCAGCTAAGTAATTACGAAGCACGGTCACTTAGACAAGGTTTTGTTTTGTGTCCGAAACTTGCCGAAACTACATCTGCGTATAGAAAATTTCATCTGTAGTTGTCTCATGTCGTGTGCCTATGTCATTGCCCATGCTCATCAGCTAACCAGCTAATAAGAAAATGAAGATAAAGGGCAGCAAAAATGACATCATATAGTCTGAAAAAAAAGACAGGACTGGATTTCTGGTTAAGTTTACTCTGTATGAATCACTCTTCTTATGGTGTATATTCTTTATTCACATGACTTTTTATATTTTATTTTTCAAAATCTTATTTAACTTATTGTTGAAATTTAACAGCTGAGCTTCTGGGGTTCGACCATTATATTCCTCCCTATTCAACAGCCAGAGGACAAGACATACTCACAGGGGTCAACTATGCATCAGCAGCTGCAGGAATCAGAGAGGAAACTGGACAGCAACTGGTACCTTTTCTCTTTTCTAAACAATATTTGCTTCTTCTATGGCACATCAAGCTCTTCCTCATTGGGTTAATACCGTGGTTGAATATGGTCACTGATTGGCTTGCTTATTTGTAGGGAGGGCGAATCAGTTTCAGTGGGCAGGTGCAGAATTACCAAAGGACCGTGTCCCAGGTGGTGAACATACTGGGAGATGAGGCTCAAGCTGCAAATTACCTGAGCAAGTGTATATATTCAATTGGATTGGGCAGTAACGATTACCTCAACAACTATTTCATGCCCGCATTTTATTCCAGCAGTAGGCAGTACACACCAGAACAGTATGCTGATGTTCTCATTCAACAATATGCTCAGCAAGTCAGGGTTGGTCTCTAGCTTTCCTTGTCTCTTCCCACTCCTTTTTCTTGTCTTTAACTGCCTTCAACTATCTTCTATAAAATGAAGAATTTCAAGAATCCATAAAAAATAAAAACCTAAATTTTATGGGTTTAACTCCAATTAAGTTCTTTTTCCCTTCCATTTTTTCAGTTTCCACGATCCAAACATGTTATTAGCAAAAGCGTGGTTAGATTTAAATTTACCTCATTCCTTCCCTACTCCACCTTCCATTGCTTTTGGGTTTGGGATGCTTCATTCACAAAGTAAAGTACAGCCTCCATTTGGGGAGAGAGTGACACCCAAAAAAAAAAAAAAAACTTGGTTCCGTATAGGACCCACGTATTTGATAATCAAGTGTGGACCCCACTACTTTACCTTTCTTTTCGTTTTGTTTTTTGCCAGTCATGTTGGCAGCAAATTATTGGGACTGGCAATCAGAGATGCCATCTCTTCAAATCATCATGGTTCAAAAATGAAAAGCTAAACTATTCTTGTTTATGTAAATATGGACGTTATGTGTGACACAAGAAAATGTGGTCCTATATGGGATCCACATATCATAATTAGACATGGAGTCCACCGCTCTATCCTCTTCACTCTATCTTCAAATGCACATTCTACATTGATTTCGTCTGTAAAGAATCCTTGGCCAAAAAACAAAGTCAATGTAAAGAATTCAAGTCGATTTTTTTCCCCAAGCCATATTGACAGAAACTGATTCCCACTGGTAAGCAGAGATTATATCTCTTCAAATCAATATGGTTCAAAAATGAAAGGCTTAACAACACTTCTTTTATGTATCAGGGTTTGTACAACAATGGAGCACGGAAAATGGCGTTATTTGGGGTTGGTCAAATAGGATGCAGTCCCAATGAACTTGCCCAGAATAGCCCAGATGGAAGAACATGTGTGGAAAGGATCAACGCTGCAAACCGACTATTCAACGACAGATTGAGATCTCTCGTTGATCAACTCAACAACGAGCTGACTGATGCAAAACTCATCTACATTAACACCTACGGAGTCTTTCAAGAAATAATAAGCAACCCGTCAGCCTTCGGTAACTAATTTACCCTCTACTCTGAACATTTCTCGCCGTAATTTCCGCCACTTTCTCTACGAAAAAAGATAGAATTTGTTCTAATAATCGGATAAAACAATGGAAATTCAGGATTTAGGGTTACGAATGCGGGTTGCTGTGGAGTAGGAAGGAACAACGGTCAAATTACATGTCTGCCAGGGCAGCGTCCATGTCCGAACAGAAGAGAGTACCTGTTTTGGGACGCTTTTCATCCAACTGAGGCGGGTAACACCATTATCGCAAACAGAGCTTACAGTGCTCAATCTTCCTCCGATGCCTACCCCATGGATATCCGCCGCTTGGCTCAGAGCTGAAGAACCTTGGCGAACAAGAAGGAAGGATCCGGAGGGGTTGAAGAAGATTTTGGGAAAATTACCTTAAGGATCCCCAAATATTAAAAGAAGTTTACATTAAAGCGTCTACGAGTATTATTTCCCAAATTGCAATGTTTCTGATTTGCTAATGTTAGTCCATAAGTACTAAGTATCATGTTTGTCTTGAAGTTTCTTGTGGTTATCGTTGAGGAATTCTCATTCGAAGTGTAATTGCCGTATGCTTTTATGATTGGAATATTAAATTAAATATCGATAATAATATATTAGCAGAATTTTTGTGAGTGGCCATGTAATTTTTACACTTTGACGCACACTGTTCCAAGACTTTTCTTTTGTCCCACGGAATTCAAATACTACCCCTTTCCCATAAGCAAACTGCAGGGGAGGAAAAAAACAGAGGAAGACCTCTCTTTGCGAATAAGGGGATCTACTCTCCTTGGTGCTTATTTGGAACTGTGATAGGTTATTTTAAAACAAAATTTCATATCATGAGGAGAGTTTAGTTCTATCTGCATGAATGTATTTGTATTGAGTAGTTTCAAACAAGTACTTTATTTATTGTGAAACTTGAGTAATGATCTTGTGACTAAATGACATGAGATCTGAAAAGTTGGTGGATTTGATATCATTTGTGATGCAATGCAGTTAGTGCCTATCCTCTAAAAGTCACAATTTCTGGAGCATCATCTCTCCCCAGGCATCTATATACATTCCATGTTCACCTCGCATCACTATTGCCCTATTCTTAGCTGATTTTGACATGTTTTGTGAGACTTTATGGCCCTTCCTCCACTGTCACTGTCGAATTTTCCTTTCAATCAGGTTTTACCTTTCTTTCACCTACATTCTTCTCTAGCATCACCAAATTCCTGGTAACCCGTTTATATTCCACCCGGTGTTGTTAACTGACTTGCCCCATTTCTTGCCCAGATAGCACACATTCCATTGTGGGGTCTAGTTCTGTTGTGGCAAAACTGGTTTATATTTATGGGCCTCGATTAAGAACCAACACAGGTTTAAAATGACATTGGGTGAAATGGGCTTTCTTTTTTGAATTCAAAATTTCCGTCAAGAGTAAATGGGCTTAGTCCAACTGTTATGGCTTCTGCCTTCTGTCCTTATCGTCTGTTCATCTTCTCCGTTGTTTCTGCTCCCTCTCATATTTGGCCATGTGTTATTTGCAAACATAGTACGGGACATTAAACGAAACTATTTATGTTAGGGTTAATCCAAACTTTAGTCCTTCAAGTTTGTCTTTATTTTGATTTTGAACCCTCAAGTTTTAAATAATAAGTTTTGATCCCTCAAGTTTTTTTTTAATTTGAAACATTGGTCTCTATAATTTAATAAAAATTTAGATCATTTTGCCCTTTAAGGGACTAAAATCTATAGTTTGAAATTTGAAGAATCAAAACCAAAATGAGGGCAAATTTGAGGGACTAAAGATTATATTAACACTTTATATTATTATAACATAATTTATCATATATATATATATATATCTATGAATGTAACTTTTCAGCCCAAAACATTTTATGATATATAGTGATGAAATAATTTTAGCAATATCTATCATGATTTTGAAGTGTATATAATAATACAAAATGCAACAATTGATTTAAAAACCATGTTTTGTTTTATTTTTTTTCCTAAAGGGTTATTAGTTATTACAATAAAATTTTTAAAAAAAAAAACAGAGAAAGTAAGAAGAATAGCAATTTTTCCTAATCCTTTGATTTCTCCCACCAAAATAAGCCACCTTTCCTGATATAAATATGCCTAAAATTAGAAACATTATTTCCACATTATATATAAGTGCCACAGCTTCTCTTTACCTGAATCCCAAAACCCAGCAACATCATTAATTACCGTAATTAAATAGAGATTATGACTTGTTGTGAGAGAAAGGGATGGTTGGGTTTGCGAAGTGTTGCGCTGTTAGGAGCAATATTAACATTAATGGTGTTGCAGAATATTGAAGGTGTAGAAGGAGAGCCTCAAGTGCCATGCCTATTCATATTTGGAGACTCTTTATCAGACAATGGAAACAATCATCTTCTTCGTACTTCTGCCAAAGCTAACTACTTCCCTTACGGCATCGACTTCCCCGACAGCCGCCCCACCGGAAGGTTCACCAATGGCCTCACTTCCATTGATTTTATTAGTACGTAGCACCTCTCTCTCTATCTCCCTCTGAGTCATTTGCTTGTTTTATTAACGTAAGTTTAGAACAAACTAATTGCATTCTTATAAAGTATTCTTCACAAATCGATGCAAAAGGTTCTCCTTAAACGACGTAGAAATTAAAGCCTTGCTTGTAATGGTGATTCTATCTGTCTCTCTATTGTAATCGATTCATTTATTTCCTGTTTTGGGATTAGTCGTTGTGTTTTCAAGGCTGATATCCCTATCTTATGGTTTATTTGCTGAATTAATGCTGAATTAGGAATAAGTTTTCTCCTTTACCGGCATAATAGCCAACTACCACCCTCAGTCTTTAATATAAAAGCTAATTTGATTTTCAGTTTGGTTCTAAATATAAGACTCTAATTCACTTTGTCTCTCATACTTATCCATATTTTGCAAACTAATCCTTGTAGTAGTAACATGTTAAAAGTTTTATCAAATAATAGTTTTAGTTAATACATATGATTAATGAGTGTATTTTAGGGAAGATAATACTTCTTTGTTATAAATAAACTTAACTGATTTTCTTAATCTACTCGAATTAGTTAATTAACTCTTATATTAAAGGTTCCAGGTAGTATTTTTCAATTTAAAAATACATTTTGGGGGGGTGGAGGGATTAATTTTACAATTTCATCCTTCACATAGACAATTAAAATCATTGAAAAGGAATTATTGTGTGGGAATCAAAATTGAGAGGTATCCTTTGATACGTCAAACATTTTTTTTTTTTAATCTTTTCGGTAGTAAAGTGGCAATTTTTTTTCTTTTCTTTTTCTTTTCCTCTTGGAAATGAATGAATTGAATGAAGTGTATTTTCAGGAACCAAAAAGGGTATGATTTTCAATTAACTTTTTTCATATAACATTGTTTACGGACAGCTCAATTTCTGGGATTCGACCAGTTGATCCCTCCCTTCGCAAATACCATCGCTGACATATCCAGAGGTGTCAACTACGCCTCCGGTGCCGCCGGCATTCGCAACGAGACCGGAAAGCATCTCGTAAGTACTTTCTTCCCTTGTCTTATTCCATTAATTAAAAACACACACACACATCTTGTTCTTGACTAAGAGTGGGCTTTTTTCCTCTAATCCTTGCCCAGTCGTTTAAATCCCATTTCATGGATATTGAGTAGAACTTGTATCATGAGAATATATGTGCTTTATACGGATTAAAGTGTGAATTTGTATAGAAGAAAAGGAAATACAGTGATGAAGCGGTGGTTGGCATATATGTGCATGCAGGGATCTGATATAAGCTTGAGATTACAACTAACAAATCACAGAACAACAGTATCTCAAATCAGTGCTGGGTTTAATAAAAGTTCAGAGAAAGTAGAGCAGCTACTCAACAAGTGCTTGTATTATGTGAATATAGGTGCCAATGATTTCTTAAACAACTACTTCCTGCCCCAATACTACTCTACCAGCACCGCCTTCACCCTTGAACAGTATGCCTCTGATCTTGTCCAACAATATTCTCAAGTCGTCCAAGTAAGTACCTTCATTCTTTCATGTTATATTAACTCCACTTATTCTTACTTTAAAACAACGATTGTATTGCCAATGATCTTATAGCCTAATATAATGGTATAATAGCTTGCTTGTAAGTCAAAGGTTATGTATTCGATCCTGCTTGTAATCCCAAGTGGGAGGTCATGTATTTGATTCTGCTTGTAATTTCAAACCATTTGTGTCTACTCCCTTGATTTAAAAGAAAAAAAAATTAATGATGATTGTGTGGTGTTGTGTTATGATGATGCAGAGTCTATATGATATTGGAGGAAGGAAGTTTGTGTTGGTGGGGGTGGGGTACATAGGGAGCACTCCAAGGGCACTAACAACACTTAAAACCAATAGTAGTACTGATGACATTAATAAAGCAGCTTTTCGCTTTAACGCCAACCTCAGATCTCAAGTTGATCACTTCAATAAAGCTCTCCCAAATGCCTCTTTCATCTTCATCAACAGTACTGCCTCCAAAATTGACCCTTCACTTGGTAATCTCTCCTAATTAATTAATTCTCTCTTTAATTTCTACGTCAATTGTTCCTAAACGACCATCCTTCACTGTTTGCAGGCTTCAAGGTTTTGGATTCTGGGTGCTGCCAAGTAGGGGAAAATGGGCAGTGTGTTGCTAACGTAAGGCCATGTGATAACAGGAAAGATTTTGTATTCTATGATTCATTTCATCCCACTCAAGCTGCCAACTTAATCACTGCACTTTCTTCATATAATGCTTCAATTCCTGCATATACTTATCCTATGGACATTTCCCACCTGGTTCGCTCCTAAATCTTCCATCTCTCTCGTTGTATATATATCTCAATCCCCAGCTGATATGAGCAAACATGTCTTAGCTCTAATAAACAGTCCTAGACTTCAAAGTACACCCCCACCCCCAAGTACTAGGCATCTCCAATAACGTCAGTAATAATGACGTTTTTTTGTATCTTGTTTTGGTAGTTTGTGTGTGTGTGTGGGGGGGGGGGGGGATTATGGTGGGTGGATTATTCAAGCACTAAGGAGCTATATTTTTCCAAAGAATTTAATAACTTTAAGGAATTAATATAGCTAACCTTTGTGTCAATAAAAGACATGCAAGATGGGAATCAATAGACAAAGTATTTCAAACATGTCAAGCCGTCTTCTCCATATATCATGCTAAACACAAATTTAAGCAGCTTTCAGCATGAATACAGAATATTCAGTGCTATCATTAATGTCTACAAATAAAGCCAGTACATAGAGGTAACTAATACATCAAAATATATATCTTTCTCACACAATTCTGCTTATACATATATTTGTTGCGTTTAAGCTCTAGCATTCATCTGCCATCATTATGCCAAAATACAAGAAGCAGAAGTTCTTAAATATGTCACAAGTACATCACCTGCACATGAACATCCCAAGAAACAAGGGGAGAAAAGGAAACTTGATTAGCCTATTATGAAGCGAAAGATTTAATTATGTATTGTAAATTTGTTTGACAACTAGATTTTATAAATATATTATTTTTGGCTGAACAAGGAAGATAGTATTGGAACAAAAGTAGATTTTATAAATATATAAGCATGGGTTTGAAGGAAAAAATTTGTTAAGACGGAACTGTATTCAATCTCACATATGATAGAGTTCTATATTATGATACTGATTCCTTGTGTCATTGTTATATAAATACCGTCAAAAATTGATAGTGTTTTTTCAGCATTCGACATTGATTTTTAATAGTAAATTCTTTCCCTAGCTGAAATGGTGAGATGCATAAATGAATATACACGGATGTACTAGTACACACTTACCAACATATAAATGTCAAAGAACTAATAATTTGGATGTATGTAAAGTAGAGAAAGATACGGACAAAGTAATGGCTTCCAACTATATGAGATCCTCTTGTGCAGACTTGGAACTAAATATTCTCGTCCTACTTCTCATTATGCATTTAAGTACTTGAGAAGATCCGAATTTCCAAAACTGCTACTTCCTCCAGTTCTATTTCTAAGGCATTTGGAGGAGGGATTTTATAGTCTTCTTCTTGTTTTTTTTTTTTTTTTAAAAGAAAGCACCACATTTGTTTATTTATTTATTTTGCACTGCAAAATGGGTCTTATATTTAGGATTTAGGACCGGAGGTCTCTTTTTAAGTATGAAACTTTTTTAAAATTGTATTTAATATGGGAGAAATGAAAACTTTCTAAATTTTTATACAGACTCAAATGGGATCGGAGGGAGCATAATATTAATGAGGGTAACAGTCTTTTGTAAATGAAACTAAAAGATGGCAAATCACTATTTAATCATTATACGCATAAAACCATCACAGTTGTGCTGGAGATGAAGGAAAAGACAAAGGCAATATAAAAGAACACAAGACAGACAGACAGACAGACAGACACACACACACATAAAAGAAGGAAAGGGATCATACACTAATTGAAGGGACATGTGGTCCTGGGGAGCATAGTGATTAGTAGGTTGCAAACCAGTGACCTGGAAGAAGCCTCGTGAGTCAAACTGATGCTCATCTGAAGACTGCATTGCCTCATAGTTTGAGCCTCCCGGCAACACATTCATGTTATGTTGCTGCTGCTGCTGCTGGTTTCTCTCACTCTCAGCTATCTGCAATATCATCATCGCCCCAATACATGGATCATTCTATTACCCTTGGAAAAGGTTTCATGTATATATCTCTATTTTGATCTTGCTAGTGAGTAGACAGATAGAGAGATGTGCAAGTAAATGTATATACTTGTGTATATGTGTATATGAGCTAGGCGTGTCTCTGTTCCACCCCAGCTGCACCCTATTTTGGGCACCCATCCCAATGTTTTTTTTTGGGGGTTTTTTCATCATTAGGTTCTATATAAAATGAGTGGCATTTTGATATGTTATGGGCAAGAAAATGATTCAGTTTTTAATTTTTTTATGATTTTTTAAAAATTTAACACTAAATTCAAAAAAAAACTGAACTATTTGAAATATTAAATATTTAAAAAATCATACAAAATGAAAAACTGAACCAATTTTTGCTCATATAAGATTGTAAAATATCACTCATCTTATATAGAATCTAACGATGAAAAGACCAAAAAAAAAAAATCTGGGAAAGGCCCCAAAAGTAAGGTGCAGCTGATGAGGCACAGTGACACTCCCCATCCATGTATGTATAAATATACCTTAGCTCGAAGAAGCTGGTTGTTATTGTGCAGGTCTACCTCCTGCAGTTTAGAGTTGATGAATGAGACTTGGCATGTCAACATGGAGAAACACAGAAGAAATACATGCTACAGTCTTGTGATTCAAAGGCAAGTAAAACACTTACCCTCTTCTGCATGTACTCGATTTCTGCAAACAGAAGCTCATTCTGGTGCAAGCGTTTGGGAAGAAACGCCCCAAGGGAAGAAGAAAAAGTCAGAAAAAAACTATAAAATCCACACACACAAAAAGAGAAGAAAGGAAAAGAAAAAATATCGTACCTTTTTGGAACGAATTCTGCTAATGCCTCTCTCTAACTTACCCTCCAAGTTTTTGAGTTCTCTTGCATTCATTCCTGCCAGAGTCTCCCCCATCATTTGCCTGCGATTTTTGAAAGCATAACAAACAAGTGATTCAAGAAATTAAATATACTTCCTTCCTAACAACACTTTAATCTTTGAAAGATATTGAGTTTCAAACTTTAAACAACTAAATGTCAATTAGAGAAATAAAGTCAAGGTACATTGAGAGATGCAAATTGAATAATATAGGAGTAAATTTACTTTCACAGATTAATTCAAGGCACCTGTTGTTATTCCTCAGGTTACTGATTTGAGCACGCAGTTTGGCAGCTTCTTGCTGATAATACTGTACAATTGCAGCTGAAAGTTTCAGTCTATTCGCTACAAAATAATAATTTAAGAAGCTGCCTCATAGATGGACACAAAATTAATATATATATATATATATATTTAGTTAGAGATATTATAGTGCTATTTTTAAAACAGAATACCTGAGCATTAGCTTCAGAAGTGGATCCAGCACCAGAAGAATCTGAGCATGCTTTCTTGTACCTTTCAATTGTTGCCTTCACACTGCAAAATACCACATTTCATTTTTAAAAGTATTTTGCTGATGTTAAAGTTCATTATTAAAACAAAAGAAACTTGATAGAGTTATGCCATTATCTCATCAAAATCTTCATAAGCATAATTATTCCATCTCACATGCATGCATTCGAACCAATCTAGCATGCGAAAATCTAATTAAGGTTTGAATAAATTTGATACAATTAGTTGTTAAAACCACTTTGAAATTTTAGATGCTTAGCTCCCATGCATATAATTAGGTTTGCGTACGTTTGGGCTGGAAACTAAAATGAAAAGAAAAAATAAACCAAAATGTTAGCTACCTTAATTTGACTTTCTGTCTTTAATATAAAAGCTAATTTCACTTTTACTTTGGTCCTAAATATAAGATTTTAATTTATTTTGTTATTATTTTATCCATGTTTTTTAAAATAGTCCTGTAATAGTTTGAAATATTAAAAGTTTTATCAAATGGTAGTTCTAACTAATACATATGATTAGTAAGAGTATTTTAGAAAAGAAAATACTTATTTATTACAAATAACTAAATAAACAAACTTTTTAAATTTACTTAAATTAGTTAACTAGTTTTTATATTAAAAACTAGAGATAATACATATTTAGCGGTCCTAATTTTCCTTTCATTCCCAAGCTTCAAAATTTTGTTTCCACTCATTTCATTCAGGATCATCTCGAAGCCAGAGGAAAATGAATTCATAAATTCATAAATTAGTACAAACACAAAGATTATTGAATTAAATAAAAATTGAAAATCTCTCGTTCCTGAAAACAAATAAAGAAAAAAGAAAGAGAGATTAAAAGGGAAACCTTGTAAATAGGCTAATGGTCAAATCATCCAGTCCTCTCTCCCTGAAGACATTAACTCAACCTTAAAACCTAAAACCTAACATTTCTTCCAAAGTAACATCAATGACCTCACTGTGACTGTCTCTGAACCACACATATCCAAAACGTCCCACAAGAAAAAAAGTGTGAGTCGATGTGATGTGAACAAATAAATAAATAAATAAATAAATAAATAATTCAAGAACAATAATAGATTTATGCGTGTTTCTACTTTTAGGGTTATGATTCTTATGATGATACCTTAACATCGTCGAGCCACTGATTGGCTGCGCCTGCCACGCTGGCATAACGTCCCCGCAGTATGATTGGTTGACACCATTTCTAGAACTAGTTTTTTGCATCGTTATTTTACAGTGTGTAATGGTAATACCCTTAACCTCACTGTATTATCCACCTCGATCTAACACAGACTATACTCAAATATAATCCATTTTAAGACATCTATACATACACACACTGTGTCTGTGACTGTGAATTTACTGATTTTATGAAATAAAAAAATATTTATTTTTTATTTTCCAAGGTCACTGTCAGCTGCTGCTAGAGGAGCAGTAATAAATGACCAGTCTGCTCTCAGTTTTCGTACGTTTTCATTTCATTTTTGACTTCTCTGACTTTATTGCTCAGAAAGAAAAAAATATATATCTTGCGTTTCATGCATTTGGAATTGAATTAAAATGAAACGTCTGAATATTAGTATTTAGTAGTTAGTAAATGGTGAATATTTTCCAAAATCCATTATTAGCTGATTAGCTAAATTAGTTAGTAATTGATAATTAATCATAAAAACCATTATCTAAATTTTAAAATATAATTTTGAATGATTTTTAGTAGTTTCTTTTTTAATAGTTTGATAGCATTTTTATACAAAAGAATACCAAAAAAGAACTGTTAGTTTCTTTGGCTTTCGTAGAAATAATTGCGATTTTTAATATTGTTTTGAGAAAATTGTTTAAAATGTTACTTAATCTAAGTTAAACGATTCCTAATTTATACGGAATCCAAATTTCTCAAAAATGTATTTTCGTCACATTAACACCAATAATATATTTTGTGAGTGCTTGATGGACTAAATTTTAAAAGGGTTAAAGTGCATCTAACACCTCGAAATATTTTTTTAGGTGCATTTAGAATCTCAAAGTATTTTGTGATGCATCAAACACCTCAAAATATTTTTTAGATACATCTAGCACCCTGAAATATTTTTTTTTCTTAATGGTGGATGCATCAAAAAAATATTTTTGGGTGCTGAATGCACCTGAAAAAAATACTTTGAGGTACTGGATGCATCAAAAAATATTTCACTGTACTAAACGCACCTAAAAAAAAATATTTTAAGATGCTGGATGTACAAGAAAATACTTTAGGGTGCTGGATGCACGAAAATAATTCAAAGTGTTGGATGCACCTTAGCCCATTTTAAAATGTAATCTATTTTTTATGTAATAAAAAAATAATACATATTCTTTACTACAACAGTATCTTGCTTTTAATTTAAGCATGGTAATAAAGCATTGACAAAACTAAGCTTGAAAAGCATTTAATGTTACGTCAATACGTCATACACAATAAACTTTGAAACTTCAATTTTATTAAATCAAACCATTTTATGTAAAAAAAAAAAAGTTCGCACTTTTGCAAAAAAAAGAAATAAAAATCTAAAACTTCCAAACGCATCAAACACCACCATTATTACTTTGTGTCTCTATGTTTCCTGTTCTTTGAGTGAGTCCAAAACTTTCACAAAAATATCAACACACAGACTTTGAACAGTTGAAAAGCTCAGTAACTGATACCAACAATGGTGAAATTATGATGAAACCAGTTGTGACTCTCTTATTGGTTCGTCCCTCTTTCCTTTTCAGATTCACTGTCTTCGTAAAAGAACTTTTTTACTCCATGAGAACCAAAACGAGAAAGAAGAGAGAGAAAAATTTTCCAGAGATAAAAATAGGGTTAAGAGAAGAATGATGAAAGGAAAGAGAAGCAAGAAAACTCAGTAGTAAATAAGGGTTTCGAGGGGTTTATGACATTATAGATACTCTTTTTTTTTTTTTGGCAGAAGTCAAAAACTGAGAGAGAAATGATGTGTGTGACGTGACCAAAGATTCTCTCGACCAAGAGACAAGCGAATCCTATACTCTAACTCCAGTGATCATGAGACCTATTTAAGAACCCTAACCAGAAAGCCAGAAATTATACAATCAAACCAGAAACTACCAACTTTCTTGATCTTTCCTCTCTTGAAAAAGGGTTTCTCAGGTTTCTGATTGGTTGGCAAGAAACCAGAAAAGGGAAGTAAAGGAGTTTAGGTTTGGTGTTTCTTTCTTGATTAAGTGTAACCTAATTCATCATCGCTGGGAGAAAAAAAACCCTAATCTTTTGGGTTAAGTTTGACCCGGTTCGAAACTACACGTGGGTGCGGGTGAGATTTGTGGAAACTTTTGATTAAAATAGCAAATCTCTCAGTCTAGATATGGATCCGTCTTAGCTGATATTGAGAAAATCCCTGCATAATCTAGACAAAACTAGCTTGCGTTGTTACATTTCAGCATCTACTAACCCTAAAAAACTATTCTTTTTTATTAAAAAATTGTTTTATTTCTTTCGATTTGATGTTTTGACAACTTGAAATTCTGCAGTACTGGCTGCTTGACCAATCTGGTGACAAGTGATGTGTTATTAAGGAATTGTCAAATATGAAAGCTTAGGCCTTAGATTGAGAAAGAGAGAGAGAGAGAAAGAGGGAGAGAGAAGGGGAAAGAGGAGGAAACTAGAAACAGAAACTTTTAACCATGGAGGAAATCAGGCTGATCTCACACTGGATTGCATACTAAACCTCCCAAATTTTTACCTTTTCTCACTCTCAACTAAATAAACTTCTAAATCTATATGATCTGTTACACCAGATCTATGAATTCACCAAAACAAGAGCTTAAATAATGATCAGAAACGATACAAGGATTTTTTTGGGGGGGGGGGCTCATCTTGCTTGCGGAAAACAGAACTATTTTCACACTTCACGGTATTTCTGATAAACCCTTTATGAGATCCATTCAAGAAGAAAAAGAAATTTGAGCCCGCAGATTTATATGAGAGAAGAGGAAAGTGAAAAAAGGAAAAAAGATGAGAAAACCTGGAGAATTTGAAGATTGAAAGTTGAAACCCTAAGCATTTATGCAAGAGAAGTGTGTATATCTATACCTGTTATTAGCATATTCATAGAGGCGACCACGAGTGGAGAAGACGATGAGAGCGACCTCAGCATCACAAAGCACAGAGAGCTCATAAGCCTTCTTGAGGAGGCCATTTCTGCGCTTACAGAAAGTGACCTGGCGATTTGTGGTGTTCTCGATCCTCTTGATCTCAATCTTCCCTCTTCCCATCTTTCTCTGTGGAGATGATGAACCCGACATGGCTTGACCATTTGGGAACGCCATGGCTGAAATCAACCTCGCAAAAGCTAGCTGAACCAAAGTAAAGAAACCACCAACATCAGTAAAAGAAAAACCCCATATGCTCAAGATAGCTTTTTTCTTATCAAGAGAATCAGAAAAGGAACAAGTAGTGAAGAGAAGAAGGTATCAACAGTCCCATACTTGACAGTGAAATTTTCAAGCTAAATCAAGTGATTATTACTGTTTTACTCACTCAAGAAATTAAAAAGAATCTATTGGCAAAAGTAAAAGCCATGACTAAATTCTGGAGCTTTGAGCTAGTTTTATGGAGAATCTGAAAACTTGGCCGAGGATTAATTCTTCATTCTCTTTGAATAATATTCTGAAGCTTTAGTTTTAGTTTCAGCTAGTTTTTGCCTTACTAATTAGCCGCAATAACTTTCAAGCAGAATCAAGAGATCAATCGCTCTTAAAGTAAACTCACAGAAGAAAAGAATCGATTTTTGGGAAGTAAAAGCCATGACTAATTAAAACCCTGGATTTATGAGCTAGTTTTGGAGAATCTCAAAAGAGGAAATATAAACATCGACAAACTTGGGTTAAGATTTTTCAACTTGTTTTCATAAGGGCTTGAGCTGCACAAGGGGAGGGTTTTCAGGATCAAAAAGTTGGATTAACCCAAAAAAGTTGAAGCATTGGGAATGGGATTTCAAAGGATGTCTCAGTATTTTGCTTACTAACCTGGGGATAAGGAGAAACAAAAGCGATAAAAGAGTTACAAGCAGGAACACAGTTCTCAGGAACTGGGAAATTCTTTTCCTTCTTCTATCAGAACTGAAAGAGAAATCAGAAAACGAAGGCGAAGTGGCAAAAGAGAGAAAGGGTGTATATTTATATAAATAAATAAATAAATAAAACCAACTTTTGATCAATAATTCATCAGAAACCATAAATATGGTCTGAACATCTCCATGTTTCTCTTCTTTTTTCCTCTCTTTACTTTTTCACCCTCCACAACTGGACCCTCAGGAATCAAAAGAGGAGGATAAATCCGGAATAAACTTAAGAATGACGCTTGGTTTAATCACAATATTATTTACTTGATTTGATTTTTCAAAGAAAGAAAATCATAAACGAAGGAGGATGGAATGGAAGGGCAAGAGAGAGGGAGGGGAGAGAGACAAAGAAAGGAACTTCTGAAAACGATTATTCATGAGGTGACAAAGACGTTGGGCTATATCTGCAAACGTCGCACCTAGAAGTGTATTCCACAACAGAAACCACTTTCCTGCTTTCTCTTTCTCTCACCATATTTCTTTCCAAACCCAGCTATATTACCTTATATATAAGACACAACACACACCCACACACACATTGAGATTTAATTTAAATAATTAGAGGGTGGAGGAAAAGTCATAAAATTGAATTGAAAATATATATGTTGATGAAAATATCTATGAAAATGTAATAATGCTTTCAAAATTTTGAATGAAACAAAAATGTCTAATTCATATATTTATATATATATGTTTTAAAAGTCTAGCGGTTTTTTTTTTTAATTTAATCAAACCATCTAAAATCAACAACCGCAAGCTACGTTTATCTCTAACTAATTTGGATTGAGCCGAGCAGTATCCCATAGCTCAAATTGATTGGGGTTCAATTTAGAGGGTATTTACAATTAAGGAAAAGCATTTTTACAAAGTACTGTCACATAAATAGAGACAAAACTGCTCTCACATGCTTATTTCATATATCGTAAAATTACTTTTGAAATCACGGTTTAGTTTCTATCCAAACACCTCCTAGCTTCCAAATAATTAAGTTGAGAAAATAAAAAGTAGTACTTGATTGGGTTGACGCGTGCTATTAGATTGTTAGTGAGTTTTTCTGTTCTTTTTTTTTTCCCGAAAAAAAGTAGTACATTTTTGCCATCTTATGTGATTTAAGTGTGAGGAAAAAGAATCTCACAAAGGTGTATGTAAGTATAAAGGCAGATGAACTTTATATCTTAAGAATTTGAGTCAACAAGCAAGTAATGACTACCACTAATGATATGATTTTAACGTTTAGATGAAAGATTAAAGCATTAACTAATCTTGTGGTTTTGAGCGATCATGGTGGGCGTTACTAAAATTAAAGTAAAAAAAAATAGAAGTGTGATGATGGATTGTTCTTTTGGATTGTATTATTATGGAAATGGGGACTTAGTTAAATCATTGAGGAGTGTATCTTTATGAATTGGTGGTGACCCAAAATTGAAGGCAACTGCCATGTGACAACAAGTATCCTTATGTATAATTCATTTATGGTAATATTAAATCCAATTTTTAATTAACAATAACTTTCCTTTTTGTCACTCCATCTTTCTTATCTATCATTTACTTTCATTATTTTTTCCCATGTGTGTGCAGACACAGAAAGAGAGAGAGAGAGAGAGAGAGAGAGAGGGATTAATTTATGTTTAAAAAATTTATTTCACATTTGGGTTAAAAAATTGTTTTTCTTGAGCGTTCTTCGTTATGGCTTTATTTTCCTTTATCAACCTGGATTTTCAATTTCAATGAAGTCTTTATAGTTAAAAGCTACTTGGTTTGAAAATTCAGGAATGTCACTTAATCATACCAACGAAATTCTGTAGGGTTGTAAAATAATGCTTAACTAATTTTAGAAATGTTTTTCAGCCTACAGTTAGTAGCGACTTTTAGAGTAGCTGGAAAGACAACAAATAATTATTGTTGTTAAAATTATTTCAAAAACCATATAAATTATCCACTCAGAGCTCTCAATGTAACGTCAGAGAAGCTTCCTGGTTAATTTATTAATCTCCAATTAGGCTGGTTTATACTACCTCCAGTCCTTAATATAATATCTCGTTTGACAACACCTATTTATTAAAAATAACTAACTTTATTTATGTCCTTTATCTCTTCAAATTACTCAACTAGCTCTTGTAATTAGAACCGGAGGTAGTATTTTACACCGGTTGTTATGGGCGTGATGTCAAAAGGGTGATCAATGACATTTATCCACTAACATCACAAGGCAACTCAATTGAAATAGTCCATTCAATTTCCCAATCTATATATATAGGCTCCATAATTAGAAGACCTAAGTCAGTCCAAATTATTTGCCAACAAACAACAAAGCATCGAAACCACAAGTGAATAAACACATGCAAGTACCATCAAAGAGTATAAGGGAATGGAAAACATACACTAATATCTATAAATGATTAACTAATTGAATGATTAACAAGGTCATTTTTTTTGCCCCTAAGTAATTCCTATAGTAATTATACATGTTAAGAAGTTTTTATCAATAAATAGTTTCAATACGCATGATTAACAAGGTCACTTTAAGAAAGATAACATCTTTTTTTTTTTTACATATAACTAATATAATTCTACAAATTAGTTATCTAACTCTTATATTAAGGATCGGAGATATTATTATGCATTCTATATATAAATTTTTACAACACAAAGAAATTGATTATATAATATACCTAACAACTTTTTAGTGGAATATTTACTAAATCCAAATCTGACCTGGCAACACATTTATTTGAGCACAATGGTGGTTCTGGTAGAAAGGAGCAATGTTGTGTTGGGTAGTGAATAGAATTTGTTGTATTCATCAAATATGCCCCATCCCTCATTTGTGGCCTATGACTTGTCACTTTTCCTTTACCTGCCTAAGCTATTAATACACGTTAACCATCTAATAATCACAAGTACTTCTATGCAACAAGCTTCTGAAATGGACAATAAGAGGCAAGTTCAATAGGGAGAATTAGAACTAAGGACCTAAAGAAAATGTTACTTATTAATTGAAATATAGGAGGTTTGGTTAGAGGCAATTTAGTATTTATTTTTTGAGGTTCGATCCTAATTGTAGTTTTTAAATTCTCTCCAACAAATACCATTCTCTATGCTTTTTTTTTTTTGTTATAGCTTTACCAGCTCAATAAAAGGCAATAACAATCCGTTCCAACTTGTTCACTAGATTTTACGTGGATCAAATCTATATATGAGAAAAGACTAATAAATTCTATGAGAAAAGGATTTCTCGAAGACCCCGTCAGACACTCAAAAGACTAGCAATTGCGAACGGATGGTTAAATAGGTTTCTTAAGCAACAATTGTCAATTGCACTCCAAATAGGTTTATACTTACAATTTAAATTTCAGGCTACAGTTGTGAACTACCCCTTCTCATTTTTATTATAAGAACTTCCAACATAATCCTCCAGTCTCAAATGTAAACTTTTTTGTAGTGTATGTAGTGCAATTTACACTACAAAATGAGTCTTACATTTAAAATGAGAGAATATTTTATACTATCTTCGGTCCTTAATATAAGACCTTATTTGACTTTTATTTTGGTTCTAAATATAAGATCCCAATCCACTTTGTCTCTCATATTATGTATTTTTTTTCAAGGTAGTGCTTCTAACAATGATAGTTTTATCCAGTACACTTGATTAACAAGAATATTTTAAGAAAGACAATACTTATTTATTACAAATAACTAACTTAACTTATTTTCTTAATCTCTTTAAATTAGTCAACTAGCTTTTATAATTAGGACCGGAGGTAGTAATACAACATGTTTTATCCAAAGTGTTTTTTTTTTCAATTTAGTATCTTTAACTGAGTGTAAAACTTCCTAATTACATGATTAAAAACACACAGTTAGGGAGTTAAAAAATCTTCATCGAGGGTAATTTTGATATTGATACTTCTATTGCTAAAAACACACAAACCTGCGTTTAAAGGGAAAAGAAAAAAGGAAAAAAAAAAGCAGTTACGTGGAATAATAAAGACTTGCCAGACCTTGCTAACAAACGAAAATGTCACCTAATACTTTTTGAAAACATCATCCCATGTACATTTTTCTTAGTTAGGAGTTAGGACAATATATATATGCATGCAAATATATGTATGTATGTGCATATATAGTCTAATTTTTAATTAGGGTAACCATATATATAGTCTAATTTTGATTTGTGTAAGATCATATCCTTGGTGTTTTGTTGCTAACTTGC